GCCGCTGGCAGGGAGCGGGCCCCGCAGCCCGGGGATGCCTCTGCAGGCAGCGCCCCGCGGCTCCCGGGGAGCCCAGCTTTTCCCCGAGGACCCCGGCGTCGTTCCGCGTTTCTCCGCCCGCCGCAGCCCCGGGGCTCCCCGCCGGGCTCGGTCGCCGCCTGCCGCCCCGCCGCCGCTCTGCTTGTCGGTGCCTGGCGGGGCTGCTCCCCCTCCGGGCCGCTCTGCCATCCCGGGGCTTTCCAAAAATCACCGCCTGGCCCACGGCTTTCCGCGGCTCTGCCCTCCTCCCCAGCCGTCCGCAGCTACACAAAAGGCTTCACCTTTTGCGGCCTTTAATTCACACAAAGAAGCTCCGTAGAAAAGTCAAGGCCAAGTCTCTGTCCTAAGGCATTTATTTTAAGAAGCGGAATACCATGTCCACATGCAAGAATTTATTGATTTTTCTCTCTTGCTTGTTTTTTTTTTTTTTTAAATTTTTCCCCTTATTCAGTGACTTACAAAAATTAGCTAAAGATATTTCCATGAGTAATTTTGAAGGCCAATTAATGCCAGACAGATCCCAGTGGGCAGGTCTGTGCAACAGAGGAAGTTTTGCAGAGATCTAGTCAGCAGCACAGTGCTGAATGGAAAAAGCAGATGCATTTGCCAGTTTTCTGATGGTTCTCACTCCCGCTGTTCCCCCATGTAACATCTGATCTCACCGAGATGAATGTCCCTCTATTCCCATGCGCAGGCAGGTGGGTAAGTTTGCGTGCTCCATCTTTTGCTTGGTCTCCCAGCCAGAGCAATCCTGATGTTATTCCTTGTTTTTCTTCTCCTCGTAACAAATCTCAGGTGAAGGGTTTGTTGTACACTCTGCCTACTGAGATGCACTTCAGGAGAAAATGCTGACCAAACCTGCCGCAGCCACCTTGAACAGAAGGAATTAAGTGTAGTGCATAAAATTGTAGATGAGACTCATACAAAACATTTGTAGGAATAAGTTTTCCTGCTTTCAATATTTCAACAACTTACAGGAGAGAACTCACACTTATTAAATGTCTTCACAACAGCTTTCATGTTAGAGAAGGACTGAAAGCTTTTGTTTTCTTCAGTTTTCCTCATGGCAATAAAGTTGAAATGTAGCAGCCCTTCAAAATGAAGCTTCTCATAGAAGTTGTAACCACAGGTCTTAACTTTTCATCACTTAAATATGGAACAGAACCATTGCGAAAATGGGTGAGGGAAGGAGGGGACACATGTGGTGCGTATCAGGCATCGGTGTAAATCAGAAAGGTGTGGTAAAAGGGATTTCCTGCCTGGAAGCAAAGCTTTTGTGTTTGTTCTTAAGATCTGTGTGCAAACTCCAGGGCTATAGAATTGCTAGTAGCTCGCATCTTTTTGTGCTGAGGCTGCACCGGGCGCTTCACTAGAGGGATCCAGTTCTCCAAAATGAAATCCTGATGCCACTGCAATTCTCTGCCCCACTGTACGGGATCCGAGCAGCCATCTTCTTCTTTCGGAGCACTGGTCTGGTTTTCGTTCCCTCATCTGTAGCTCGCCTGGGACCTGCTTGGGATCAGGGCATGCACAAATGTGCAAGTAGATGCCCTCTCTGCATAAACCTTACAGCCTGAACAGACAGCACAGAAAAAAGATGGCAATCAGCACCTGAGCATGAGGGAAGCCAGCGAGCGTCCCACCAGGTACCCTTCCCCATCCCCAAGTTATATGGGGTGGTTTGGGTTGTTTTCCATGTCTGTGGGCTTTTGTATGGCCGGCATCTATTTTCTGAAATTTCTTGTCTAAGCTTTAGTGGCATGGGAGAGGGGAAGAAGCTGGGGGGCTCAATTAGTTAAAAAAGTGGGAAAATTATTAAAAGGGAAATCTGAATTTCTAAGCCTTGCATATCACCTTAGTGATTTTTAGTGACATGACAAGCGATAGCTCGGTTGTTTTCTGCTTCGAGTGGCTGTCTTTTCACCCATTCACCCTGTGGGTGCACGCAGACTCCAGGCCTGTGACCCCAGTGCCTGGGCTGGCTCTGCAGTCCCTGCAGGTGTTCCCGTGCCTCATGCTCCCCTGTGGCCTGCGCAGGGACGGGGAGGGAAGGGCACGTCCTATGTTCCTCTCAGCCGCAGCAACTCAGCAGGGTGCAGGACTGAGAGGTGAAGGGCACATGTACAAGACTGCTCCGAGAACCGCAGTTACCAGCGAGTGACTCTGCGAGTGGTGTTCGTACCACAGGCAGCCGCACTCCTCTGCGTGCTCACAGGCCACCCCAGCATGGCCACGTGAGGCATTCAGACGGGCAGCAGCAGCAACAAGACTGCTTTGCAGCATCCTTCATGGATACTTTGCGCTGTGGCCATGCTTGCTGGAGTTGTAATGAATCTCTGTGCAGGGATCGTAGTGCTGTAAATTCCCCTCTGGTACCCTGTTGCCCTCCAAACCAGGCACTCCTCACTGCTGCCTTTGATGGTCTTTTGTATCTCTGTAGTGTTTCATGTTCCTGATGATCCGACCTCCTCAGAGATTCGTCCTACTCCTTCCTCTCTGTTTAAAATTACATTTATTTCCCTTTCAAATCGTTACAGCCATGCATACCTCCTCCTTCTGAAAATTGCCTTCACCTAGATCTGTTTTTGGGTTCACCAGCCCATCTTTTTCCTCTCCTTTCCTCCACGGAGAGCGTGGGTGCTCTCTAAGGGTCATAGTAGTTGCTTTTGACTTGTGTCTAAAATGTACTTCATTTTCCTGAAATAAGGTGTTTCCTTTAGGCTTCAGGGTCATTCTTTTCGTGTACAAGTTCTTCCTGGAAGCACAGACCTGGAAGTATTGTGTAATACCAGGTGTGTACAGCGTCTTTTCTTTGTAACTCTGAATGGCCTCACCCCAGTCCAGACCAGTCATGTTTGGGCAGTAAAGGTAACAAAGTGGTGAGCGATCTGTGGTGGTAGCCTGTGATGGCCACGAAGAGAGCGCATGTGGCAACTTGTTTCAGCATTGCATATAAAGCTGGCCTGGAAATTTCATCACCTGGTGGCAGATTTGTCCGTACCTGACAGAGCAACTTGTAAAAGTGGTTGCCTATGATGAATGGTTTGGGTGAGCCGTAGGGCATGCAGTCCCTGTTGATGGCAGCGTATATGTACCCCCTGAACTTTTAGAAGGTCACCTAACTAATCTGTTATATTAACCCCCCATGTATAATGCACACCAGGTGACTGCCGTTCTGTGCAGCCCACGCTTTGCCTGATCAGTCCTGGAGTCCACCCTGTTTGGATATGGCATTGGCCAGCCTGAGGTGTGTTAGAAACAGAAAACCAGTTTAATGGATGTCAAGCTCTGTGGTGCCAGGAGGTGGGGCTGTGCCAGAGACTTTTTGACATTTGATGATCAAGAGGTGTAACATTTTTAGCCTGAGAGACTTTTCTCTCCCTTAAATGGTGTTTATCTGCATGCCCTGCTGAGTTCGTTTTTCTTCACCAGCTGCGCTGAGAGTTGTTCTTTGTTATCTGGAGATGTGTTTATCTCCTGCTGTAGGCACAGATCTGATCCCTGGGC